TTTTTCCCGATATTTGGAAAAAATCATTTATCTCAGGTGTGAGTGCTTATTGTCTTTTAATTCATGATCGTATTATAGAGTATGTACCTTTTAGCAGAGAAGTTAAGAAACTTGTATAAATTATATAAATAATATTGTAAAAAGTATTGTACTGTAATAAAAATTGTGTTGACGTTTTGGGAAATAAAAAAAATTGTGTATTTAAAAAAAAGTTGGTTAATTTTTTTATTTTACCAAAATGAATTTATAAAAAAAAAAATGGAGCCAGAACATACATATAGGTTTTTGAAAAAATCGTGAGCACGGTAACTAAAAAAAGTTTACCGTGGGACTGTCGGTGAAATATTTTGAATCTCCCTGTAAAAAATGGAGCCAGAACATACAAATACATACTACTACCGTCGGCTCGTGTGTCGCAATGTCGCCCCTTTACACGAGTTAGCATTGATTACGCTGGACCATTGAAAATGCGCGAGTTGCGGTTGCGTAAGTCACGAGAGTTTAAGGTATACGTAGCCGTTTCCGTATGTATGGCCGTAAAAGCAGTCCTTTTAGAGCTTGTCTCGGAACTTTCTACTGCGGCGTTTATGACCGCGTTTGATCGGTTCATTGCGAGGTGAGGTCGCCCCAGTGACGTCTTTTCGGATTGTGGCACAAATTTTGTTGGCGCTGCTCGTGAGTTGCGTCAATTAATCAATAGTCCCTCGTCGCAACAGACAATTACCGCGAGTTCAATCGGGTGTGCGTGGTATTTCAACCCGCGGCGCCCCATTTCGGAGGTCTGTGGGAAGCTGCAGTCCGGTCCGCGAAGCGGTTACTATCACGTATAATATGACCTCACATCTTCACGTATGAAGAGTTTTCAACGGTTTTGTGTAGGATTGAGGCGGTCTTGAATTCTCGTCCCCTCACTCCGGCTTCCTCGGACCCTCATGATCTGGAGTGCATCACACCAGGTCATTTTCTGATCGGCCAGCCATTGCTTGCCGTACCTCCGCGCTCATCCGGTGACCTGGAGCGATCTATTGCCAACAGATGGAAGTTACTCGATCAATGCCATCAGGCCTTTTGGCAATGGTGGACCACCGAATATTTATACACTCTCTAGGAGCGCACAAAATGGACGGACTTTTGCGCGACCCTTTAGTACCGTCGTTGGAGTGGCGATTCGGCCGTGTGACCGACGTGGTCCCGGGGCCTGACGGCGTCGTGCGCGTAATCCAGATCTTAACGTCTCGTGGCCTAGTGACACATCCGGTAATCAAGGTAATTGTGTTATTCACCCAATAAATCTGGCGTACTGCGACTGAGATGATCCCACCTTCCCTCTATCACCTTTGTTCTTTGGCCACTATAATGTAAATTGTATAAAATAACATGTATTTTTTTTTCTTATGTTTATTATTATTAATTTCCATTTGATAACGGTTCGGATCGTGTTATTTGTTGGTTGTTATTTTTTTATTTTGTGTAATACCGATACTGACAACCACCCCTTCACCGACCATGGAAGGCTGGACCAGTACTCTTCCATGGGGGGGGGGGGTATGTTCGAGCTGGTTGTCCAACTATAATATTGTCGACCTTATCTGCGGTTTTCCCCGCGATAACCGCGACCGATGGTGAGCCCCGACGTCGTCACTGTCCGTATTCTTTTTACGGACCCCCGCTAGTCGTCGTCGTATGTTCGCCTCTGACACCGGCACGTCGTCGATCTATCGTGGCGTGTGGTGTTGTTTTATTTTGTTTTGTTCACACTGGTGCGCATTTTGTTGATTCACGCCGTTTTTACCTTCCGCGTGATTTTGCGGTGTCGTGCGCGTCGTACTCTGGCCGGCGTACATTTTTGTGGAGTTTTAGTATCACCATCGTGTGTTGTACCGCCGGTCGTGTCATTTTGCCGCCGGTCGCCATTGCGCCGTTGTGTGTTGTACCGCCGGGCGTGTTTTGCACCATCGTCACTGCGTCGCCGTTCGTACGATATATCGTTGTTCGTGGAGTGCCTGCCCGCTCTCGGCAGCAGGAAGCTGACTGCACTGTTGTCGATGGAATTGAGGCACTATCGTGGTTGGCTGTATTGCGTTTTATATTCATGTATTTAGGTTTATATTAATATTTTCTGTATTATTATTATTACTATTATTATTCCGGGCGCCCGATTTTATATCGTATGTACTGAATTTTAATAAGTTATTAAACAATTACTTTAGATTAATAACAAACCTTGTTATTATCATTTATTAGATTTTAAGTGTGAGGTAACCAGTCAAATGTTCTACCTGATCGAACATTATTCAATAAAATAACAGTAACATGTTTTATTAATTAGGTAAAAAGAACTATAATATGATAATTCGGAGCAATTCGGCGTTGTACCTCTGCGTGAACGCACATCTGTCGTTATACACATTCCGGTATCTTGATTCCACTATGTCGTAGATCTACTCGTAATCACTATTCTATTAATTAATGTGCGCTCCACGGTTATAACGAGCGTGTGGCTATGTGGAGCCCTAGTGTCAATGATTAGAATCGCAGTGCGTCTCATTCCGGTTCCCCCTCTCCGTCTAAAAAAAAAAATCCACCAAACGTTTGTTGTCGTCTTCTTCAAACTCACCAACGACTCCATCTCATTTGGGAAAAAAACTAAAAGTTTTTTGCTCAACAAATCGCTATGCTATTTTAGCGACCAAGGATGACAACGTTAAACCAACTGTAATTTCAACCAACACGGTTATTGACAGCGAGCAACTCATTTCACTTGAGGGAAAAAACAAATTCCAACGTAAGGGATCCACCAATCTACATTAAAAACACACTTCTATAGTTAATTTTTCAGCTCTCAAATATACGTTTATACGACCCACTAGTGTAAACGGTTTCTCTTATAAGTCAACTTTTTTCATTTTTAATTATTCGTCCAAGTGGAGTTTCGAACTTCAATGCTGTCATCGAACATCTCGCAAGTTCGGATGCTTGCTATCACTCATTTAACTCTCCTCCACTTCGGTCTTATAGAGTCGTCATCAGAAATTTTCACCATACTACTCTCATCATGGATATCTCAGAAGCTCTGGGTGACCTGGGATTCTGTGTTAGACGAGTTGAAAACGTTCTTAAGAATGGTCTCCCATTACCTCTTTTCTTTGTAGGCCTAACTCCAAACGACAATAATCATGACATTTTTTAAACCGTCTTCATTATCGAACACAATTATCAAAGTTGAAAAACCTAATAAAACCAAGAATGGACCGCCCCAGTGTCATACCTGCCAGAATTATGGGCACACAAAAAATTATTGTGGTCACCTCCCTCGCTGCGTCAAGTGTGGGGAGAATCATGACTCCGAAGATTGTACCAAAGATAAAAAGAGTCCACCCAAATGCGCTCTTTGCCAGGGTGCCCACACCGCTAACTTCAAAGGCTGTCCTGTTATTAAGTCGCTGTCAAAACGCCCCAAAGTAAATAGGAAGACCTCTATAATAGCTCCAGCATCTACTGTTCCAGGATAATTTTCAAAATTGAGGACAAAACCCAAATCCTATGCCGAAGCAGTTAATTCTGATATTTCTCCAGCTGAAACCATCTCGTCCATTTTATCTAATTTCATAAATAATTTAAATTCACTAATTAGCCCGTTAATCTTCCTCCTTACGGAGGTCATACTAAAACGGTACTTTCCTTAATTGTATTTTTATTATATCATAACCCCTTGTTAACCCCCCTCACCAGAGTAAGATTGAATATACGCCACTGTAATTTGTTAACACCCTTTTATAAGAAGAGATGAGAAGCATACTTCCATTTGGAACAAATTTAAGAGCCTAAGGTAAATATTAAGTGGTGTTCCATAAAATAGCTATCTAGTTTTTAGTAAGTTATAAAGAAATGGAGATAAAAAACAAAACAACAGCACTAGAATATTTTGAAGATTTAATTATAAAAAACAATTCAGTGTAGTAAATTTAATGTACATTTTAATATATATACAACTATTAAAAAATTTATTACATTTATAATTTTTTTTTTTTTTATGAACTCATGTAAGGTTATTCTTTATACAAATATAATAAATTACAAAAAATCATTGAAAATTGTCAACTATTACAGGCATAATATATAATAAAATTCAAAAAACCATGGACATTATTAATAATTATAATATGACAATAAAAAGTTTGTTTAATACAACAATATTTTTTAAAAATAATTACTAAACTTATTTGTAATTAAAAATACTCTGGCCAAATGGTAAAATCAATTATTTTATAATTTTTTTTATCGTGAAAGGTGCCTTTCTTTTATGAATATCTATTGCCCTCAAAGCAAAATAGTAAGTACATCCTTTAATACATTTATTAAGGTCACATTTCATGGGTAATTTATCTACTTTAATATCACCTACTTTTATCCACATCGAAGAGTTAGGAATTGTGTTAGTCTCTCGACATACAAACAATTCAAACATATTTATTTTTGCCATCATTAAATCCAATTTCATATCCCAGTATAATATCACTTTATTTTCATGATCTTTGATGTCTAAAATAGGTGCTGGCAATTCATTTTTCCACGATGGATCAGAATTATAAAGGTGTTCTACAGGAAAAGGTGGAGGATATTGTAATGTCTTTGGTAACTCTGGTATTTTAATATTTATTATACTCTGATCATCAGTTTTAGAATGAATTTTTTCACAGTTTTTAATACTTAAATCACATATTTTATTATCTCTAATTTTTGTAGAGATACCTTCATTTACATCATCACTATTGATTTCATTGTTAACAAACATTGGTTTTGGTGCAGATTCATGTTTAAGGGTTAATGTAGATAGGCATGTTTTTCTGTTTAATGATGTACAAGCTTCAACATTAATAAGCAGTGATTTGATATTGCAATTATTATTAATGTTATAAATTGGTGTGGCATTTCTTGATTCCGATTTCTTTAAATGTAAACCAGCAGATTCTTGACCTGTTTTTGCTAACTTGGGTATTTTAATATTTAGTATATTCTGATTATTAGTTTTATTAAAAGATTTTTCTCGTTTATTTTTATTTGAGCCACTTGTTTTAATATCAGGATTACAATTTTTTTTACATTTATCTTTTATATCAACAAAGGTAGAGATCTTATAATTAACATCATCACAATTAATTTTATCGTCTATAAGCATTGTTTTTGATTTCGATCCAGAATTACATTTACATGTACATGTAAGTAAACATGTTTCTTTATTTAATGATGTACAAGCTTCAAAATTAATAGGAAGTGCTTTATTATTGCAGTTATTGTTAATGTTATCATTTGGTGTAACATTACTAGTTTTTGATTTTGGGTCTATTTTATGTTTTACTTTTAATTTTTGACATTCCTCAATTACACCAACTAAATTAATAGAAGAGCATTTAGTTTCTTGTTTTTTATCAACCAACATTGAATTTGTTGAATGTTTATTTTTATTTAAAGACTGATCAATTTCATTATCTGATATTTCTATTATTTCTGGATCAACATTCATATTTTTCGATTGATCACTAAAAAAATAAAAAATAAACTAAGGTTTAATTGCTTATTATTAGGGCTCGGATTTAAATGCACTTAAAACCATCCAAATATGCTCCAAAAAAATAGCCAAAAATGTCCTTAAAAAATGCATTTTACCACAAAAATGAACTTAAAAATGACATATTTTTTTTTTGTTTTGGGCATTATTTAACATGATATTTAATACATTAAAATCACATTCATACGTAATACGAGCAAAGTTTGAGAGCTAATACGAACTTAAGTTGATTTTTCATTTGACTGAATACTGGTGACGTTCCATAGTCAATAATAAATTAAGATAAGATAAAAACTAAATCGAAAAATAAAGATTGACAATGTGTATGGAAAAATCTGATAAACCTAATTAAGAATCAAGAAAATAATTTTTCTTTTGATTTTATTTTGAATAGGCTAAATTTGTTTAGTATATTGAACAAATATGCATTAAAAACCAACAAAATGACCTAATAACACTATAAATGCTCTAAAAATGAAAAAAACGTTGAAATATGCAAAAAAAAAATGCAAAATAAAATTCGTAGTTTTGAAACCCTGGTTACATGAAACGAATAATGTTATTAGAAAGCATTGTGGATAATCAACCAAAAAATTATACACTTTGCATTGAATTCCGGGCCCTACTTATTATGTTGTTACAATTGTTTGTACTAAGTATTTTTTTTTTTATATTAATTTTTCAGTATGTACTAGTTTTATAGTATCTGCTCATTAGATAGTATTTCAATAATATTATGGAATATATGATTCGTGTCGCAACTAGAAGCTTGCGAGATGAGCAACTGCCTATAGTCTATTCAGAATAAGAAACGTAGTCGGGGGCGACCAGTTTTCGACGGTAGCGGTCATATATTTCCCCCACTGTGCCGTCTACTCTACCGACACGTCGCGACGGCGGCCGTCGACATACGACCGTTGTCGACGCATGACGTAAACACATTAACAATATTAATTATTTTATTACATAAACAATGTACTTCAAGTTATTTGTTCGCATCACTGGTCAATAGTAGAATAATGCGGAGCTCTCGCTGACAACGGTGTTGAAGGCAGACGTGCATAGTGAGGCCACGCCCATGTACAATAATCGGCCGCCGACTACGTTTCTTATTTTGAATAGACTTTTTTATAGAGTGTGTAATAAGGGGGGTTACATTTGAGTTGTGTAAGGTTTCTTTAAGTAAAAATAATTCTGAAAAAAATTGAATACATTAAAAAAAAAAAGTATTGATAGTTTATGTAATTTTCTTAAATAGTTTAAAACAATAATGATAATTTTGACACGGTGAAGAGACATAATACTAGTGAACCCTACTTAAAGCATTAATTTGGCATCAGATAGAAATTATTGTAGAGGAATTGTAAAAATGGAATTAAATCTTAAAAGTTTGTTTTTAGCCTCAGAAGAAGAAGAGATAATTTTGAATTAAGATATTTAATGTAATATTATTTCTATAACGCGTGTTCATCAATTTAGGAAACAACTTCATTTTTCCACTATATTCATTAGAATAAATGTAATTTTATTTTACAAGCAAGTGGTATATAAATAAATATTTATAGACACATTTCAAAAATGTTATTCTAATAAGAACATATGCAGTGCAATATGTGTATTTTATTTTTTTTATTATTGTTATAAGTAACAACATCTATTTTGAGCACCATATTTAGATAGGCTTATTTTTTAAAGTTCTTTTTATGTATGAACTATGTTTCTAAATTCATAATTGACCGAATAAGAACCATTTCAATTTTAAAAAATAATACATTTTTATAATTCATTAGAGTGCATACAATTTATATATAAATATTTGCATTTATAATTTATTTAAATATTGGTTTTTTTTAATATATTTTTTTTTTATACGAGTTATAAACAAAATTAACCTTGTTTATAACACATATGTCAGTATGTTAAATAACATATTAATAATTAACTAAAAACTAAGAAAATTTATGAAAGTCTTTAATTTATGGTAGTTGCAATAGAAATTCTTGTTAGATAGCAGAAATGTATACTGAACAATACCCAGGTCGGTACCATCTATCGCATATACTTTTTATTAAAATAGAAAAAATTATAGAACCACGGAGTAATTTTTGTAAAAATAACATGCAATTAACAACCCAAAGTAAATAAAATTTGTGAAAATTTGGAACTTCAAGTTATAGTTTACATTAAATTGAATCCACCATCTTCAGTTTGATTCTTGTAATAATCAAATTTTAATAAATAATTTTGCACCCATATTATGTTAATCTTGTATATAACACTAAAAGAAAAAAAAAAATTACCTAAAAATATTCATAAAGGAATCAAAAATAAATAATTATAAATGATTAAATGAATTATAAAAATGTTTTATTTTTACAAAATTGAAATGACTCTTATTCAGTCAACTTTGAATTTAGAACCATAGTTGATACATCAAAATGAGTTAAAAAACAAATAAGCCAGTTCATAAATGGTGTTCAAAATAGGGATTACTATTTAAAAAAAAAACATGATAGTATAGCGCATGCGTATATCATAATGATAAATTCTATTAAATATATCTATAAATGCGTATTTAAATATTAAATACTACTAGCTAGTAAGAAAAATTAGATATATTCCAATGTAATATGGCCGAGAAATAAAATAAAAATAAAACTCTTTAACATTTTTAAGGTAAATATTTATTTTATTAATAAATTACTTTTTGACCGAAAGAATAAAATTGTAGAAATACTATTAGTTATGAAAATTATTAAGAAAATTGTTATTTTAAAATACTACACCTTTCTAAATATATGTTAACATTTTGGTTCACTGAACAAGTCAAATTCTTCCTTGGTTGAGCTTGTTTATTAATTTTTAAATCTTTTTCCAATTGTTTAATAAGATTCCCATAAATATATGCTTGGGTTGAATAATAATTATATTCCTTAGTCCAATAATTAACATTTGAAGAATGAACAGATTTTTCAGAATTTAGATTTTCTTGAATTTCGGTATTATCAATAAGTTTCATTACTTCTCTATATACGATCATATCAAATTTAGACAATGGTAATTCTCTAACATTGTTATTGAATCTGAAGGATATTCGAGGTTCTTGTGTATTATCATTAGTTTTTTTGGACTCTCCATTATTATTTTTATTCATTATAGATATAGTAACTGTGTTGTTTCAAAGATAATCTATTAATCCAGACTTCAACAACTGTAAATAAAAAAACATGATGTATTAATATTATTGTTAATCATTTATTTTATGTCTATAAAATAATTTTATTCAAAGTGTATTTCAAGGTATATGGTTTTTTGTTATTTCAATATTATAGGGCTTAAATTCTAAAATAAATGCTTCTTTTTGATATATAAGATAAAAATCTAATTTTTATACAAAAATTTGTTTCATATGAATTTGATTCCAAATAAACTAATTATTATTTGCTTTTTTGGCTTTTTTTTGTATAAATGTTTTTTCAATTATTCCAACCATGGAATTTTTACATGTTTATTATTCTATAGTAATAAAAAAATTGTTTACTTAATTAATAAGAAGTATAACAATCTGGAATATGGACTAAATAGTTGTATTGGATTATTATTGTTTTCGTTATCGGCTTGATTATTAAATGTATTAAACATGTTGATTATCAATCTACAGACAAATTATTGATAAAATGTAAAAGTATTATATTTGATGCAGAAAAGAAGTTAAATGAAGCTAATGGAAATATTGCAACTGCAATTTTAGGTAAACTAAATTGTGTTCTTTTATAAAACAAATACTGGAAACAATTACTAGACATTAATTATAAACTGAGTAGCGTTTAATCAAACAAAATTAATTATCATTGATTTGATTTAAATGAAACTTCTTGTATGAAGTATGCATCGATAACTTCAGTGGATGTAAGGCATTTGTTTTTTTATGTATAAAAATATTCTGTCAGATAGTAGTCAGTTTCATTACTGAAAATCTTACAAAATACATGGTTTTTAATTGTTTATTTAATTCAAAATAATTTTTTTTATTCAGTTTTATTATTCATTTTGGTCATGCTTTTTATTTTATTTTTTAAAACAATTTTGTGCTTTTTTTGTTATATATATTGCTTTGAAATCCAATCCCTAATAATAACCAATTCAAAAAAAATGTATTAATTATTAAAAATTATTAATTTAATTTAATATTAAAATATTAATACTTATTTTTAAACATTAGAGGAAAAAGATGACGAGCAGAAAAGATATGGTTGGATATGATTGAGAATGATATGTAGACTATTGGTATGCGCGTAGAGGATATAGAAAATTGAGATTATTTGATGTTTAAAACAAGAGTGGTTGACCCCAATTAATTGGGAGAAAGGTGAAGAAAATGATTAATTATTAAAATATTTAGATATGCTAACCTAGTCTTATAACAATCTCTTAAAGACTAGGCGAGGTATTTTGATACCTTAACACAAAATTTAATTGTACCTGGGATGAAAGAAATAAAAGAATTATTAATAATAATATAATAATAATAATTATATTATTGTATAATTATTAGGCTCAGAGCACACCAAATGATAATAGTGAGATATTTTAATAAATAAATTGGTCAAACATATGTCCCATTCGAGAAGATTCTACAATTTCAATTCAGAATTCAGTAAAAAATACAATTTAGTAAGCACTAAACATTTTAATTAGCATGAGAAAAGCCTTGCTTTTTTGTTTGAAACTTGTATAGCTATTTCAGAAAAATTATTGTACATAAAAAAAAAAGTTACTGCATACATGATGGAAAATCTACCAGGCATTGCTGGATTATTACACCAAAAATATTGTTTTATCCGGCATCGTTATAATCGAATTCCACTTCACTTTTACTTTCAATAAATTACCGAAGTAAACAAGACAATATCAAAAATAATTGATGTAGTAATTAAAATGCTAAAATAGAGCTCAATGCGCTTCATAAACGTTACATTACCACAGTTAAGTATATATACTCATTAAAAATATTACTAATGTATTTACACACAAAATATCGGCAACGTATCTTCCAGAGATATATGAAACAACTTAAATAAATACAAATTTTTCCATAACGAATAATTTGATAAGAGTTATCATCATGGTTAACCACAGATATCTAGATTATACTAGATAACGAACTACCGATGTTTTCCATTGAGAGAAGTGAAGCCCGGGGACGCAAGATTATCATACGTCCGCCATGTTTTCGGTTGGCAAAACAATATTTACACTATATAAAATAGTTGAACACACTAAATTATTAAATTAAACATTTTTCATTACGTTTAATCAAAATTAAATTTCATTATAGAATTGAGAATATTAATTTAAAATTGCACTAATGAATATTTACATAATGTATATAATATATATTGATTATATTATACTCGTAATCAATGAGTATACAATAAATAAAATGACTTATTTAAATACACAAAACCATATCACTATACTTATTATATTTAGTTTTAACTATTATATATATATTAATTAAAATATATAAAATAAATGTTTATGTACTGATATACTGTAGTAGGGTTTGTTTTCCAAGTTTGGTTACTAAGCTTAGCGCAATTGATTGAAAAGCCTGAATTGGCCTGATGTTCGAGGGATTTGCTGGACCCCAGATTGCTATTTCATAAGACTAGATTGGTCTTATGATTGACTTATATGTAATAAGTTTGTTTTGGAGTGTTATTTTGGAGTTTAGGAGTGGTCGGAGGAGGTGAAGTCTGTTGTTCGATGATTTTCTTTTTGGTGGGGGGCTTCAAGTTAGTCTTTTATCAATCGTTATGCCTAAGTACTTAATTTTGGTTTGGACAGGGATGGGGGGCGTTGTTCATAATTAATTGAAGGCACTCACAGGGAGAATGTTTTAACGTAAAAGTAATTTGTACAGACTTTTCCGTAATAATTTTTATTTTCCATTTTTTTGGCCCATTCTTCAATTTTATTAACATGATCCTGGAGTTCAGCTGAAGCTAAAATAGGATTTGGACTGGAGGAAAGAATAGCTATGTCATCAGCGTATGTTGCTAGAAGGGTGTTACTAGATTGAGGAATGTCTGTTGTATCGAATGCTTGAGCAATATCTAAAAAAAAGTCCAGAACAGTATTCTTTATTTTCGAGAGCAGTTGAGATTTCATCAGTAAGACGATGAACTTGATGGATTGTTGAGTGCCTGTTTCAAAAACCAAACTAATTATTCGGTGTAATATGGTCGTTTTGAAGGATGGGACGTAATATTTTCAGGAGGGCCTTTTTGAAAAGTTTACTAAGGACTGGAAGTAAACTTATGGGACGGTATGACGAAGATAAGTGTTAGGTTTATTTGGTTTGTGTACAAGTATAATGACTGCAAATTTCCAGATTTTAGAGAAGTGGGAAAATCTTAATATAGAATTATATATGTGGGTGAACAATGATATAGTTTTGAGAGACAGATTTTTTCAGAATTTTGTTTGTAATGAGGTCATTTCCAGGTGCCTTGCTGGGAGGTAATTTTTTAATTATATACTGCATTTCACCAGGAAAGATGGGTTTTACAGGTAGCGACATAGGTAGCGAAGCTGATAGAAATTGTTGAATTTCAATAATTGTATCATTTTTTGGGTTCGGTGCACGAATGAGGCTGGAATGTTTCAGCTAATTGAGAATATACAGATACAGAGAATGTACAGAATATACGTTGCAATTAAAAATGTAAATGTTGAGGTATTTTTAAATCATATTATCTATACTTCATACGTACCGAAAAAAGTGAATTGAGGAATTACTTTTAAAGCGATTTGAACAACCGTATGCAACATAAGAAACAGGCATATTTAATAAATATTAGTTACTAAATAGTGTATAATTAATATTGTGAGGTGTGGGGAATAGTGTTGATACAATATTTTGCCAACCCAAAACATGGCGGACAAATGATAACATAATCAATGCGTGCTTCAAGTGATATCGGAAGTTCGTCATCTAGTATAATATAGATATCTGTGTGGCTAACACCGTCTTTATGACATCTATGATATTGCCACGGATATACCTAATGACTAGTATACACGGGTTTAGTCATTAGTACTATAGTGCGGCCAGCGAAACTAGAAGCTTGACGGTCACGCGCCCTAGTGGCCGTTTTTTCATTAGGGCTACGAAGAATGCTTTCCCGCGTAAAATAATTTCAAACACATTTAAATTTGTTGTATAGACCTGTTTCACAGCTACTCGTACGGTACGCGCGGTTATCGTATATTCTTACGTGTGACTATGAAACGAGCCTTTACTAAAGACATAACATTTGATATTTTTGTAATACACATTTTTTATTAATTTATTATCACGTTATCAAAATAATAATATAATAATTGTACGGCAGTTAACGGTTGTACACCAGAACCGACGATCGAATGGGCTATTGCTTATACGCACGGAACGGCGTCCGACAAAGAATCCGATCGTAAAATAATTAAATCGTCGTATGGAAAGAAACCTGAGAAAAATAAGAGAAAGAGTGGACTGTATGGTTAGGTTTGGAAGTGATGTGGAGGAATGTGGGGCAACCAACTAAAGTATTAAATAATAAATATAACAATTGCAAATTATATTAGATGATTGTAAGACAGAAAACAATATATTTTATGAACTTATAGACTAAGTGAGTCGACCATATGCGGTCGCCCGTAATAATAATAGTTATTAATAATAAAAGAATAACAATAATAATAACAAATTGATAAAAGTGTACGACCTGGTAATACCAACGCAAAATTGAAATTGGATAACGATATGGTCGATAGCCAACCTGTCGCAACAGTCGGAAGGTTCCTTGCCGCGTATGTAGAGGGCGCCGCTGTCACATGTGAATGAAAAATGTTGATTCGGCACTCGGCGATGACGTTACAAGGACACAAACCGAAATACGGAATTTCCCAACTGTTCGGATGACGAAATTAATGGCGCCACGACGTCGGCAAAACAATAAAACACTCGTGGAACGATATTAAAAAAAAAACAACTGTGTGACAATGGCTAACACGAGCGCGACGATGGCGATCGGACACTTCACAATCGCAACGAGAGCACGATACGTAAATGGTTTCCTGAGGTCTCTCGATGATGAGAACGGTGTGGATGAGACGACGACGGTCAAACCACGTGGCACGGAGTACTATGGGCGACGAAATATATAACAAAAAAACACTAACGATGGAGTGGCGTACAGTGTACACGACGTCGGCGCTTGTCAGTGTTAACGGTGGCGACGCACCGGTACAAACAATGGCGGATATGCTATTTTGCCTAGACGGCTACGTAAAACACATGAACACAAACACACGACGGTGATGATGAACGCACAGACGACCGACGACAGACCGGTCCTGGGAGCGGGCAGCAGGCTAGCCATCGGAAAACAGCACAGCTAACTACCCCCTCTCAAGAAATCGATCATGTTATCGACCAAGTTTGCAGGAGGCCAATATGCCGCGATCCTCGCACGACATTTGTCCCCAACAATAATAATAACATTTAAAATATTAACAATTGTTTTCGAATTTTAATAATAATTATTAAACTTTACTCATCGTCGTCGTCGTCATCATCGTCGCTCGAACTGTTGTCATCTGGATAAATTGTTAAAATAATCGACTCTAATATTTCGTCCCTCAGTCCTGCTTTATAGAAATCTTCTTGAATTTTCACGCAATGTTCTCCACATTTAGCCCAATCATCAGCAGTTACCGCATAAGTTTCTTTATGGTTAAATGCCTCAACATCAGCAATTTTAAATGTTGAGTTTTTTTCAGCAACTCTATCTTTAAATTGTGCCAAAATTAATTCTATGGGATTATACTGACAGTGGTAAGGTGGAAATCTTACCACTTCATGTCCCATTTGTTGTGTTAATTGATCCAAATTATAAATTTTTCCACGCGGCATCGTAAGTTTGACTTTCACCCGTAATTCATCTAGAGTTACTACGGGAAAAAAGACTATATTTTATTCGCGCAACCATTGTTGAACATCCGCCTTTCTACTATTTGACTTCGGGTAGTCCTCGAGTAATGCAGAATGATATGACGCGTTATCCATAACAATAACGTTAGGCTTTACCAAGTTCATTAACATTTGCAAATACCAATTTTCAAAGATTGTAGCATTCATCTGTGAATGATAATCTTTGGTATTGCCAGAGTTACAGCGAAAAATTAATTTTGCATCTTTGACAAAACCAAAGGAAGGAGACTCAGCGTGACAAATTATAAGGCGACTGCCTTTCTCTGTAGGTACTTTTAGGCCCTCTATATTTTCGTGGTTTTGCCAAATATATCCTCGAGTATGATTTTGGTTAACCCAGGTCTCGTCTAAATAGACTATTGGTCGAAAATCACCATTTATACGAAGCTCGTTCATTCTACGTAAAAATTTTACGCGCAGCTACTATGTCCGATCATTCCATTAGAAATTTGCGACCGTCATTACTTGGCGTGAGGATAATCGTCCTAGAAATCTAAACTTAGATACTCCACCCGGAAACCATTGTTTTTCATTCACAAAATAATAATAATAATTTCCGTGGAAACAATAATCAACGTTTCCATCAATTAGACAATTCCCCGCCAAATCAATCCGGCCATCCGGTATCACAAATAAATGTGTCGATGTGGAAATGAAACGACGAGGAGACTCGTACGTAAGTACGTTACATCACGAAGCCTCCCCGTCAACTGGATGTACTTCTCCAACCCAGAATAGTAATACTATTCAACATGATGATTCTCCACATGACAAACGCCCTGGATTATGTATTAGTATTTTAGATACTAAAGTTCCCGTAATCATTGATTCTGGTGCTTCAGTCTCGGCAGTTTCTGAAAAATTTTTCATGTCCATATGTCAAACCACTCCAGAGAAACGTCTTTCGGTTCTGCCGGTCACGGGAGTAACCATAACTACTGCCATCGAAGGTCGTAGTTGCAAGGTTAGTAAACAAGTACTCATGCCATTTACCGTGTCTGGAAATTCATGTTATTGCATATGTTTAGACGTGCTATATCTCTAGCA